TTGAATGTGTATAGTTTCATGTGATTAAATTCAAGTCTAGTAAGATGTGATGTTTTTAGAGAAAATTTTAAAAGAATAAAAAGATTTTTAATTTTTTTTAAATTAAAATTTAAAATTAATACCAAAATCTGTGGATCCTCAAGTCCCATTAAAAACAATGCAATAGTGCCCCTTATATAAAATAGCAAAATTACAGTTTGCTTTTAGGAAATCAATTTTTTAAATAATATTTTCAAGCCATGGATGGTTAAAACTGTGGATAAAAAAATCCATGGATAAGGAGGGCCAACAGCATACACCCACTTGTTGATGCTTCTCCTAAAACTCAAATCATAGCTATGAGCTATAGCTATGAGATTCCAGCATTTCCCCAGCAAGCTTGTCTGGGCATTCTTAAGAGCTGTAGTCTGAAAAAGTAACTTTTCCAAACTCTGGCCCAGAGCAATGTCTGGTCTCCCAGGCAGATGCTATGTCATTTTTGAGTACCTAGCAACATTCTTGAAGAGCTTAATTTCAAATATCCTCATAAAATGTCATCTTAATTCTAAAACCCATATTTCTGTGCCTTGGAGGTAAAGTAGCCATATGGCCAAGACTAGGTTGGGGGAGGCAAAAATGGATCTAATAGGTTGTCCATTTCTTAAGACATCTTCATTTCATTTAAGGCATTAAATGATCCATGAAATCATATCTTAAGGATTATCAATGCTGCCATTCAGGGAATAATTATTAGTCAAAGCAGAAAACTAACATTTACTCTCCCCCCCCCCCTTTCACCACTCCAACCCATCTCTGCCTGTTCTTCAATGCTCTTTTGTTTCCTCAGATATACAAATACTTTCACTGGTGGTGAATTACAGTGGTCCCTTGGTATCTGCTGGGGTTTGGTTCCAGGACCAGCCATGGGTACCAAAATCTGTGGATACTCAAGTCCCATTAAATACAATGACATAGTGAAATTGTGTCCCTTATATAAAACAGCAAAATCAAAATTTGCTCTTTTGGGGGGGAACTTATATATTTTTTAAAAATATTTTCTAGCCACGGATCATTGAATCTGTAGATAAGGAATCCATGAATACAGAGGGTCAATTCTGTATTGCCTAGCTATGTTGCAATGAAGTTTTTGAATGATCAGCTTCTCTTGACAGAGGGAGAGAGCCAGAGAGAAAAAGGCAGGAAGAATGTGCCTATGATCATATTTACAGGTTGAGGATGGAACATATAACAGCTCATATAAGTTGGCAGAATCAGCCTGGATTCCCAGATAAGACATCTAGTAAAACCAGACCCAACCTGTCTTTTTCAACACCTACCTGCAGTCCAGAGCATGACTTCACAGAAAGCTGTTCTGTATTCCATCAGCCCATGAGATGCCAGTTAAGGCTTAATGGAACTAATTGGTATCTCTTCTGCATCTCTTGGGAACAATTGCCGTGTCACCTATAGAAAGGGAAGGATTCAGTTGTGGTTTGCAGTGAACAACAAACATCTCTTAGTGAATACAAGTGTTAGAAATGAAGTCTATGAAATGAGAGACAACTGGCAGCCCTATTAAACTCCACCAAGTTAATGGCTCCAGTACAATGTTATTAATTTTTTCTGTGTAAATTTATACATCCAGATGCAGATCCATTATTCTTTCCAAGGTCTACATCACCAGCACATTCTCCAGAGTTTCCAGGAACTGATCCATCCACTGGTTCAGAAGATATACTGTACATTCTTGACTATAAAATGACCTCATGTATAAGTTGAGGACAGGTTAGGGGGGCAAAATTAAGGATTTTGATGTGACCCATGAATAAGTTGAGGGTAAAACATAAGAGTATGTAACAGAGGATCTAAAGAATAAAGGAAAGGAAAGCAGTGCCAAAGAACTTACAAAATTCCAGCAGACATATCTGTTTGTGCTTACCCTAAAGCAGGGGTAGGCAACCTTTCCCCTTTAAGGGCCGAGGGACTTCAGCTCCCAGAATCCCAGGAGCTATTGGCCAACATGGGACTATTGGCCAACATGGCTGAGGCTTCTGGGAGCTGAAGTCCCTCGGCCCTTAAAGGGGAAAGGTTGCCTACCCCTGGATTACATTCTTGCCTTTCATCAGGGGATGGCTCTTTATTTTAATAAGAGGTGAAGTACAGTATTTGCATAGACCCACAGATAAGTCGAATCGGGGGCTTTGGATCAATTTTTTGACTAAAATTTCTAGACTTATACATGAGTATATATAGTACACACAGGAATATCTGTACTTCTGGAAGCTTGCTTTTGTGGTTGGCCTTCCAATGTAAATAGGTCATGGTGGCCTCTTGAGAAATTGGCATTCCATTTGGGTTATGCCACCTGCCTGTGTGTGTGTGTGTGAGAGAGAGAGAGAGAGAGAGAGAGAGAGAGAGAGAGAGAGAGAGAGAGAGGAGTGACTCCAGTAAATCCAGATTCTTTAATGCTACATAAATAGCAAATGCCTTGTACATGTGTCAGGACCACACAGCATACACTGTGACCTCCCAGAATATTTCTCAGATATTTAAAAATTATTTCTAGTGATTGCTTTTTCTTCACCTTGGATCCCCATCAATAGATGTATATGTCTTGGGCTCCTCTAAACCTAATTTGGTAAATAATTTTGCCTCTCTCATTAGCCGCTGAATGAAACCAGTCTACCAACATGTAATATATAAGCAGATAAGGAAGGATTGGCTCTCAAGAATCCACATCAATGTTTCACAAGCAATCAAGGATAGCTTGGAACTTGCATTTGCCATCCCTTGTTTTTGCAAAGCCACTTCTTCCGTCTTTCCCATATGCTGTCCCAACATGCCTTTCATGAATTCCTTCTTAGAAGTGTTATGAGGGAACCAAGAGGAATAGTTAGAGGATCTGGTCAACATCTGACGTATAGTGAATCAGTTTTCTAATCCTTTATACCCCTCTCAGAGGTCTCTGGGCCCAAGGAAGGCTGGGGAAAGATGGGGAGACCCCAGGAATGAAAGGCTGAACTGGTAGAAACAGCCTGAGAAGAGCTTGTTGGAGGCTGGGCTTCAGCAGCTGATACCTGGGAGACTACAAGTAGGAATTTCCTTCTGATGCTGGGGAGCAGCAGAGGTGAGCCAGATCAGCAGTATCTTAAGTGTGTAAGTGTAACTCATCCTTCTTTGAAAACACCTTACTTCTTGTCCCAGTAGAATTGTAGCAACTGATTGTTCTGACGCTATATATCAGTAATTCCCAAAGTGGGCGATAAAGTGGGTGGTGGAAAAATTTAGGGGGGATGGTGAGGGAAAAGAGGGTAGCGGCATGGGCTTCAGTTAAAGGATTGATGCACAAGAAAGGCAAGGCAAACTAGAAGCCTTTAGGACCATGGT